TTGAGCTTCCTATAGTCTGTGCACACTTTCCACCCGGTGACGGTTCTTGTTGGGATCAATTCATTCTTGTCATTTGTTACCACAATCATGCCCCCTTTCTTTGGGACACATTGCACCAGAGAGGTCCACGAGCTATCGAAAATGGGGTACACAACCCCGGCATATAACCACTTGATTATCTCCTTCTTCACCACCTCTTACATTGCTTCATTTAGCCTCCTTTGGTGTTCATCAGAGGGTTTGGCACCCTCCTCCAAAATAATCTTGTTCATGCAAAAGGCGAGGTTTATGCCCCGGATAGCCGCCAAAGTCCATCTGATTGCTCTTTTCCTCCTTTGTAGCACCTCCAATGTGGACTCTACCTGCACGTTAGTTAAGCAAGAAGAAAGGATAACCGGTAAAGTAGATGAAGAGCCAAGGAATTCATACCTGAGATGCGGGGGGCAATGGCTTTAACTCCGAGGTAGGAGGCTCCTTGATTGAGGGCTTTGTTGGAGGAGTCTTCCGGTTTTCAAGATCCAAAGATAGCTTTCGGGGCTCATAAGTGTACGACCCCATGCCTTGCAATGCATTTACACACTCCACATAACCATCACTCTCTTTATCATTATCAAGGTTGAGCAAAAGGGCTTTCAATTTGTTTTCAACGTTCATTGTGGCACTAGCATCATCAACAATCACGTTTGTCACCAAATCCACGAACGAACAAACTTCGTTAATATTTGGCTGCCTCATTGATTTGCATACATGGAAGACCACCTTTTTTTCACCCACCCGGAAAGTGAGCTCACTGGCTTCCACATCAACAAGAGCCTTCCCCGTAGCAAGGAAATGTCTACCCAAAATAATAGGTACGTCATAGTCCACTTCACAATCAAGGATCACAAAGTTTGCTAGGAGGATGAACTTGTCAACTCGAACCAATACATCATAAATAATACCCAAAGGCCTTTTCATTGTTCGATCTGCCATTTGCAACCTCATGGATGTGGGTCTTGGTTGCCCAATTTTCAAAGTTTTGAACACCGAATAGGGCATCAATTTGATACTTGCCCCGAGATCACATAATGCTTTGGCAAAATAGGAGCTCCCAATAGTGCAAGAGATTGTGAAAGCGCCCGGATCTTCCAACTTTGGAGCCATTGAGTACACAATAATACTCACTTGATGAGACATCTTAATGGTCTCAAAATTCATTGATCTTTTCTTGGTTACCAAATCCTTCATGAATTGTACATATCCCGACATTTGTTCTAATGCCTCAATAAATGGCACATTAATTGACAAACTCTTCATCATATCAATAAACTTTTTGAACTGGTTTTCACTGTTTTTCTTTGCAAGTCTTTGATTGTATAGAGAAGGAGGCCTTGGCGTTAGTGACTTGGCCTTGGGCACTACCGATTCCGTCATGTCAATCTCACGGTCCGCATGAAAATGAGTGCGGCTGCACTTCTGATTATGCGGCCGCACAAAAGTTATGCGGTCTGCACTCTCTGCTTTTGGACTTGAAACAACTCTCTAATTCTTCAAACCTGTGGACCGCATAATAATGACTGCGGCCGCACAATTTTAGTGCGGTCCGCATTCCTTTAGCTGGCCCAACACTATTCTTTGAATCTCCCCTCTGCAACTGCACTAGAATTATACAGTCCACACTGTTGGCATATTTTCCATGTTTTGGTTCTTGTTCACTTTTGACTCCTTTATGAGTTGACTTCTGTGGCTCGTTTCCCAATATTCCTGCAAGTAAGCACATTTCATTAGTTTTTGGAAATACCTTAAGCATTTTTTAGCTAAAACACAAGTAAAAGAGAGCAAATAAGCGATCAAAATCCCTACTTATCAGCATTCTCCTTTGTTCAGTTGAAATCACAGGCCCTTCTATTACAGTTGCACTACACACTCTGGTTCTTCTTGTGCATTTTTACCTAGAAAGTTCTTGTAAAATTCCACAAAAACTTTAGCTATATTAGGTGCAGTAGTCTTTGTGATCCCTTCACAATCTCTTATAGTAAAGATTCTATTGGAGTTCCTTTTGGCTTTAATCATGCTGTGGAAGAACTTAGTCTTCATGCCCCCTGCATTCAACCAATGCATTTTGTACTTCTGTTGCAGTTCTTGTGTCCATATTTGGCATTGCTTGGAAAGCTGGCCTTCCTTCATTATTAGTTCCAGATTAACAAGGTCCCTTTGCAGTGCCTTTTGACATTCCTCCAATTACCTTTGTGCCAGTATAGCTTTGCCTTCAAAATCACTAAATTGGCATCTGTTTATTGCTTTGAGAACAAACTTGAGCCTGTTGAGTTTCTCCACCAGTCTATACATACATGTACCCTCTATGCTCTTGTCCCAGTTTTCTTTCACTTGTTGCTAATAATTTGTGGCTTGACTCCACATGTTGTAGTATCTGAATCTGTGTTGGTTCTGCTGAGGTCCATATCCCAGTTTATCAAAGCTAGACAATGTTCCATGAGACCCTCATTCTCAAAGTGCACATCTAATCCTAGCAATGCACTCATCCACTATCGCACTCCTTTTTCTCGCGAAAGCGGGATTTGACGAGTGATAACCCTTTTAAATGAGGTATTAAAAGAGAAGAGCTTCCACCTAACGATTTTTAAGGTGCGATAGGGCAACTATTTGCGAATAACTCTATTTGACTAGTCAACGCCACCAAAGATCGGGTAAGGACTAAAACTACCTCGAAGAGAAGGTGTTAGGCACTCTTCGAGGTATACAATTGTGGGTCCCGACCAAAATTTATGCTATGTGGATTGTCTAATTAGACTAGGTGATCAAATAAATAAAGAGAGGTTAGAAGTCGAAGAGTCTTATTATAACATGTGAGAATTAGTACAAATCTTAATGACTATAAGGATACAACTAAATTGGTCTATATTAAATGACTAAGTGTAGATAACAAGTATATAAAGGAAAAGAGGAGTCCTAAGTTTTTTAGCCTAAATGAACACCCCGTGCAAAATAAATAATACTTCACAACTCCCTTAAGGTTGGGGTTGCTCATATTATTCAGTGGGCACAGACTATCATTTCATGCTACCCAATTACTATGTTGAAGTTGTTTACTTAAAGGCGCTCTAATTCAATTCTAAGCCATGTCCTATGCGTGCATTACCCGTCCCATACCTATGGTCCAAGAAGCTTTGGAGCTATTGGGTGGTTCTAGACTTTACTTAGGATGCTCAAAATGATAAAAACTAGGCGACATTCAAAACAGGTAGGACTGCACATACTAGCAATGAAAGGCTCAAGTTAACCTCAACATATAAGCACAAAAAGCACGCGATCAGTCACATATTTTCAGATTAGGCAGTAGGCAGTTTCAAAATTAAGACGTATTATAGTCGTTAAGTCCTATGGGCATGGCTTATAGATAATTCTGTTTTTCAGCATTGTGCAGGTAGCATTGCAGCTTTAAGCTAATAGATTTGTATATTAAAAGAGTTACAGGTCCTATAGACTTAATCTCTACTTGTTCGTACGATGAGGCAGTAAAACTATTTGAAAACTCAGAGTTTACGACATTGATTTTATAAACATGTTGTCTAAGACGAGTAACAATATCCTATAGGTAGGATTTTTAATGGTTGAGAACTGGTTTTATAACACAATATCGTTATATGCATGTTTTCTAGGCTGGTGACAGTATCATATAGATATAATAATAAAGCAATACAAAAACGACACGAAGTAGTTGATTAATATATTAAGATCATGTAGTCTTGGTAGCTAAATGGGCAGTACAATAAAGTAATAGAAACAATTGACCAATTGATTATTTGAAGTTCTATAGGCATGGTATCTACTTTAGCAATACATATGTATCACATCCTATAGGTATGCTGTCTAAATATACGGTAATAACATAGAAGCAAGTATGGCAAATACTTAGACTAATGTGTTTGAACAGTGCATAAATAAAGTATGCATGATTCCTATAGACATGCTTTCTACACATGAAACTAAATACCATATAAGGCATGTTGAACAAATAGCAAATAGACCACACAGATCCTATAGGCACGTTTTCTACCCTTTTATGCAAACGTTAGAATGTACCCGTTCCCCCCAATTCAACTAATCTCCCAATTATTCGTTACTATAGATTATTACATGCCCAAGTAGGATAAAATAGTTACAGACTTAATAGGGAAGCTACAAGGCCAAAATACAGCAAATACATGATACCCTAGGCTGATTCTAGGTCTTCAACTGAGCCTGGAGCCTTTGGTGATGAACATGACCAAACTCCAGGTGGCTATTAATACGCTTCAAGTTTGAGTACCAAACTGGCCCAACAACTAGGCCCAAACATTAAGACAGTTGCCTTGCTTACTCATGGAATACTAAATAACTATAGCAACATAGGTAACAAGTTTGGTACTAGGAGACACTACTGAAAAATTGGTCTACGGTAACGGTTGGAAAACCGTCCCCATAGACTGCCAAACCGTTGTCGTAGGGATTTTGGAACGGTTTACCACCCGTTACATCAGCCGGCGTACCCATAGGTCTACTGGAATGATTCTTGCAACGGTTTGCATCGCCGTGACAATAGATATGTCTATCGCAACGGTTTTCCCCTTCTCTGTTGGAACGATTATTTTTTCAATTGGAACGGTTTAAAACCGTTACTATATTATTTATACAACGGTTCTTAACCATTGCCATATTATTTAAAGCAATATTTATGTAAGCTATTGCTACGGTTATGTTGGATATAGCAACGGTTTCTTTAAGCTATCGTAACAGTTATATTTGTATTTGGAACAGTTTTGTAGATCATTTTGGAACAGGTTATGGGACCTATTGCAACGGTTTACATTATCTACAAGAACACCATTTGTATCCTATTGCAACGGTTCTGGTAGGCTATTGTATCAGTTTAATTAAAACCAAAATATAGCACCTGTTATAAATAAAATTTATACATATAATAAATTATAATAACACTAAAATTTTAATACATCATAAAATGAAACTATTAATAATATAAAATTATCCATCAAGCAAATAATAATATCCATAAGGCAAATGTTCTACCCCATGAGTGCATAAGTTTAGTACATTTCAAGAGGGTAAATAAGTTTAAAAAAAATGTTGGTAACAAAAGATTCCTAGAATATTCATCTATAACAATTCAAAATTATCTCAAGTAAGGTCTAGTTCTTCATCGTCTTCATCATCCATTTCTTGATCTACTCCACCTAAAAAGAGAATAAATAAAGTTATTGTCCTTCAAGAGAATACGGTCTAAGAATACTCATAGCACAAATTGCCATGAAAAAAAAAGAACAAAGAGCTAGCTACTATTACAGAGTACAAAAAACAGAGAAAACTCTCAGTTATTACACTCTTTTTCAAAAGGCTAAAGCAAAAAAGTGCCTTCTCTTTTTCTTTTGCCATATTCTTTTTGCTCAAAATGGGTTGGAATATATATATCCATCATCGTCAACTTATTTCATTTTCCAAATAACATTCTCATTACTTGCTGTAAATCAAACTCGATTATTTGCAGGGGCACACACCATTGGCCAATCACATTGCTCTTTATTTCTGAATAGAATATACAATACATCAGATATAGAGGGACACTGCAATGTCCTAAAAATGGAGGGAATTGAAGTTTGGCCCCACTCGATTTGGTCACAGACAAAAAACTTGACAATAATTATTTCAAGAACCTAATGCAGAAGAAAGGTTTGCTCCAATCTGATCAAGTTCTTTTCAATGGAGGATTAACCACTGAAAAGTGCCTTCTCTTTTTCTTTTGCCATATTCTTTTTTCTCAACATGGGTTCTTCTAATGAAGAAGAAAAAAAATTATCAACAACCAAAATGGTTATGGGTTAATGGACCTATAATAGTAGGTGCTGGACCTTTGGTTTAGCAGTTTCAATCACCAGTAAGGAAGAAGAAAAATAGCTCCAGTGAGAAAAAAAGAAAATACACACCACATTCATCAAGGAAAAGACACTAATAGTTGCTTCAGCTCATTAGATGACAATTGCTCCAAATTCTTCTCACATAAAGAAAAAAGAGGGTAGAATATTTCTATCCTAAGATATGTGGTAACAAAATCTACATTTCCTTCACAAGGATGAAGGCCGCTACCATATGTTTCTCCATATCATACCATACAGGTAGTGCTGGAGTCGTTACTTACTCGTTCTTATATCATGGTTGAAAAAAGTAAGGAAAGAACAAGAAGCTTGCAGTTTTCAGAGACATGAGTATTTCTAAAATTGATACTTCAAAACTTGCTACATGGAACTAGTTTAAACTACTAGGTTAAGCTAAGTAGTTGTGGTACCTGATAGCCAACAACATTATTATTTGACAATAATGAATCATTTTCAAAGTACTGAAATTTGACAACAATTTAGAAACAACAAATATATTGCTAAGCAAGCTAATGTCGATTTAACTAAACGGTGAAAATGATCAATAAACAGCATTTACCAACAGTTCTTTCACCACATTTCAGTAATAACAACTTAATAATCATACAAATGTCCTTGGATGCATAAAGAAATTTGAATTAAAGTATTCTTAAAACTAATAACTCAATATATTTAAAATTGGAACTAGCTAGTATTAGTTACTTACTCATGCACAGTCAATTCGTAAAGACTTAATGATTTGCGTATATTAATGGTGAACATTATCTCTTGGCATTCTTTTCCAATTGCACTGTTGAAATCTTGTATCATTTCTATGATATTATGCTTATGCTATTTCTTTTTCCATGCTTTATGCAGGTAGACAAGAAAGTGTAAAGAGGCAGGGAACTCACTGAAGAATATATAGGATACAATTTTGAGAATCGTCATTAAAGTCAACACACAACATCATTTTCAAGCAATCATGGTACTATTACTTGGTTTTCCTAAAAATTTGACAAATTGTTGTCAACTCCCATTATTTGGTTTTCGTAAAAAGTTTCCTAAATACCCTTCAAAAAAATAGTTCATTTCTTACTTAGAGGATTATGCTAAACACTTTACCATATCCCCTCTGCCTTGAACCAAAGCAAAATCCCAAGCAAGGAAGGAGGAGATGAAGAAGAAATAGAAGAAGATGTATAACATTTGGTACGTACTGACCTTGATTGTTACTACCAGCAGATGGTCGACTGTTTAGTTGAACAATAACTTGTTGTGCAGAGGAAGCTTCTACAGGTGAACATGCACTGAACCTTAACATGTCAGGATCAAGTCGCAAATCTGGGTTCAGACACTGAAGTCGTGCGATGACGTTCATTGTAATATTTTGTTCCATGGCATCCTTTTATTCATCATGCATTCGTTGTTGCATCCTCTCTTCTATTTCCTCCATTTTCTGATGCATCCTCTCATCAAAAGATCCAAGATTCCCTTTTTGCCCCTTTAACACAATCTTGGTAACCCCTCATCCATACAATCTCATGCGACCTGGATGTTCAGGTCCCATGACTGATGCAAAAGCGTCATCTGAATGACTGCCATCTTCACTTTCCTGAGATGATTGTATTCTCTCCATTTTAGCCTACAAACCAAAAATGCAAGAAAAAAGAGTTTTAAGTAACTAAAGTTGAATCAATAATTAAGAACAAATAAATAAGCACGACAAACTTTAAATTAGAAATTTCGTACAATTTTACTAATTGTATTGTCATATGAGCTTTTGTATACTTGGCCAAGTTTTCTTTTTCTTGTAGCCACAAACATGTCCTTACTTGATACAGTATCTGAAGTATCAGAGATTTCCTTCTTTTTTTCCTAGTTACATGAAAACAGGTATAAGAATCTTTCCATATAAAGTTAGCAAGTTCATAATTTAAAAAAATAAGAAAGATAAAACATCAAACCTCGCGAATTAAAGCAAAAGGCGTTCTACCAATAGTGTGCGGACACTTCAATTTGTTTCGATTCTCTGTATTGGTTTCGGATATTTTCTACAAATAAATGAGTCAACCAATAGGTGATTGACTTACTGCAATTCGGAAAGCTTATAATGGAGAGAGTGAGCCTCCGAGTTTCATACTCTCTTTTACAGTCTCTTCTTATAACAACTGCAGTCACCATTGATGCCCAGTTTTTGTTCCTATTGGAAATTTCTTTACATTTCCACTTCTTTATTAACTAAAAAGAAATTGGTTTTGTTTTGTTATTCCTTTTTCACTGGGTTATTTATCTTTTCTACCTTATGAAAGGGTCCCAGGTTAGTATAAACCTGCATCTCCAGTGGACTGACAGATTTACTCGTTTAAAACTGGGCAGAAATTGGGCAGAAACTTGGCAGAAATTGGGCAGAATTTTTCTGAAAAAGATTCGCCAGCATTTCGACGCTTTTTGGACGTTTAAAAAGAAAAAGAAAAAGAAAAAGAAGAAGAAGAAGAAGAAGAAGAAGAAGAAGAAGAAGAAGAAGAAGAAGAAGAAGAAGAATGAAAATAAAAAGTGCAAAATCAAAACATACCTCTTGAAATTTGAAAATTGTTGTTGTAATGTTGAAGAAGAAGAAGAAGAAGAAGAAGAAGAACCATTACTCGACCAAACTGACTAGTAGTAGTACTAATTTACTATAGAAACATTTCAAACATGGCAGGGCGGAAGATTGGGGAACAGCAAATAGTCAGATTCGGTACTATTTTACTTCTGATTCTTTTGACTCAGACACCAAAAAACAATTATGTTAAAACAAGACAAGAGATTCTGGATGTAATTACCTTGTGAGGATCGGAGTTCCAATATTTAAGAAGATCCTTAAAGTGAGATTCCGGAATATCTACTGGCCTATTCTCCATTCGAAGCTCATCATTCTTATAGGCTGTGAAGTGAGTTGTCTTCAATTGACTCTTATACTTTCTCCAAGCACTACAAACTGATTCAAAAACCCATGGTTTCGCCTCATCAGGAATGTCATATTGTTCCTACAAATTTAGTGCAATTGGGTTAGTGTAAGAAATAAGAAATATCATCCATGTTTATTGGACATTGGGAACTTCATACCTTGATATATTTTCACATATCCTCTTTTGTGTCAAGTTTCCTCCAATTAAATACATTAAGAGGACAAAAAGTCCCACTCCTTGCCAATGTGCCGAGGAAGCTACCCAACTCTTTTGCAACCTCTTTAGTAGGACCAACGGGTTGATTATACTCATTTAGAATGATTATTTTACGCTCATTTCTACCATGAACCCTTGGCATTTGAGTACGGCCTCTTTTTCTTTTTGGCGAGGAGGGGCCTGCAATAGTACAAAACAAAGATAATCATTAATCACTATTTTAGTTAAGTATATGATTAAAATTTATATATATTTTCCTTGTTCCTCAAATTGTTCAACTGCTTCATGAGTGGTAGAATCATCAGATCGTTCATGTACTCCATGTGATGCAGGAGTGATGAAATCCATATTTTCTTGTTGCACTTGTCCATGTACTCCTTGTGTTGCTGAAGAGGCGCGATTCCATGACACTTGCTGCACTTGTTCTTGCAATTGAGATCCAACTTCGGATTGTCGTTCTTCATTTGCATTTGACCTTAGAGCTTTCAAGGCTGTTTTTGTTGTTAATGACGAAACCTTTTGGTTTCGCAAAGATGAAGGTAATCCACCTTATGATTGTCGTTCTTCAATTGCATTTGATCTTATAGCTTGGAAGGTTCTTTTTGTTGTCAACGACGAAACCCTTTGATTTCGCAAAGATGCAAATGATCCAGCTGGAATGCGGTTGGATATTTTCTTATTTTTGCTTGAGCACCCTTCTTGATTCATGACTATTCAAATATTTTTCAGATTCTGAAAAGCAAATATTCAGTTGGAGGATAGAAATTACCAATTCTGAAAAGCAAATATTCAGCTATAATATTCAGTTGAATGAACAATGTGAATGAACTGAGCCATTCCGTGTGAGAATGACGGCCAAATATCATATTAGCTATAATATTGCTATAATTTAATGGAGGATAGAAATTACCAACTAAACCAAAGAGGACGTGGGAGAAGGGACGGGCCTCAACAACCGAACAAAAGTATCCGAAATCTCTCTCAAATCCTGCAAAAATTGAAGCATATCAGAATAATTTTTATAAAGGAAATAAACAAAAATAATCATAAAATATTTATTAAAAAAGGCATTATCACTCACTCAAAAAAGAATATACTTAAAAGAATTTCAAAATTTTCTTATTTAATCATCTGCTTCCATCCAGTCCCAATCAGTATCATCAAACCCATCCTCCTCTTCCGATGTTTCCACCATTGTATCATGTGAATTTTGTGCATTAGATGGAGTATCAATGATATCAACAGGTACATCATCTCTTGACCATCTAATGTCAACATCAAGTAATCTAGATGAGGAACCAATGTCATTATTAGGTTCCCTCCAAAATGTCTCTCCAATATTAGGACAGTTCTCTTCCTCTAGATCAAATCAACAGGTACTTTGCTCCTCGCATAATAAACATCTTTCTCAGTTGGATCCTCCACATAAAAAACTCGATAAACTTGTGATGCCAATACAAAAGGGTCATCTCTACTACATAATCTATTGAAGTACACCCGAGTCAACCCATAATCATCTATTTCATTACGAAACCAATCATATCTAAATAGCACAACACTGAAACAACCCTAATAATCAATCTCAATGATATCCTGAATTGCTCCATAATAGATAACCTCACCATCGATGAGATTTCGGTCCCTAGCACTAGCAAAACTATCTATTGTTGCCGATAAAGTCACTCCACTATTTTGAGTCTTGCCTCGGGAATCCCGTTCTTTAGTATGAAATCGGTATCCATTAATAAAATATCCCGTATATCTTTTGGCTACCATATTAGGTCCTTTGGCTAGCCATCTTAAATAATATAGCAATACAATATTTTTAACTTTCTCATTAAACCAATTATTGAATTCCCGACTATGATCCCTCGCTCTTACCCATGCATTTGATCTACTATGATTAACAATTAAATTCTTATGCTCCCTACAGTAAAGAATATTTCAAGTTTAATCATATAATAAAGAAAGAATTATATAAAAAATAAATAAATATTAATATAATTTATTTTACTCGATAAACTTTTCCATTTGTTCATCTCCAGTATTGAAAAGAGCATATCGATGTGCTTCAAAGCATAACTGCGCATCCATGAGAAAAGTATTTTTTTCTTACTTCTAATTGGATGGACTATATTAGGGAATATAGGTGACAAATTTTGAGAGCACTCATCATCTACAGTTTGGTACCTACTAAATTTTGTCTTCACGCCATCATGTAGATATCTCGAACAAAAAGTCAAGCACTCATCGGCCAAAAACCCCTCTGCTATTGACGCTTCTGGCCTAGATCGATTACATACAAATGCCTTGTACTTACATAGGTTCCTCTCAATGGTATACATCCAACGAAGATAAGCCGGACCCCCAAGCTTAATTTCATTCACCAAATGAATAGGCAAATGTGGCATTATGTCAAAAAATATTGGATGGAAAATCTTTTCAAGCTCACATGTTATTTCAACAATTTCAGGCTACATTGTTTCAAGATCTCTTCCTCTTATGACCTTACTACATATAGCTTTAAAGAAATTTCCCAACCTAATCAAGGCCAATGAAACATTCTTGGGCAACACTTTTCTAACAGCAACCTGGAGCAAGTAATGCATTATAAAATGGGCGTCATGACTCTTGTACCCTGATATTTTCATCTCCTTCACTTGCACATGTTCTGAAATATTCGAAGCACAACCTTTTGGTAATTTAGCATTTTTCATGACAGTACAAAATAAACTTTTCTCTTTTGGTTTCATGTAGAAACAAGATTTAGCCAAACTTATAGTTCCATCATTATTTCTTCTTGGTTGTAGCTCCTTTCGTATCCCCATTTCTTGTAAGTCATAGCGAGATTTTTCATGATCCTTTGATTTTTCATCTATTTCTAATAAAGTCCCAAGCACACTATCACATAGGTTTTTCTCGATGTGCATCACATCAAGATTGTGCCTCAATTTGTTATGCACCCAATATGGCAATTCGAAAAAAATGGATCTCTTTTCCACGGACCCTTATCACTCCCAGACTTTTTTTAGCTCTCTTTCCAAAGATATTGTTGAATTCAAGTAGCTCTTCAAACACTTCTTCACCCGACAATGGAGCAGGTGCAGGTCTATGCTCTTCATTATCATCAAAAGACTTTTTATCTCGTCGGAATGGATGATCACGAGGCAAAAATCTTCGATGGCCCAAGTAACACATCTTATGACTATGTTTGAGATATTGAGAACATGTGTCATAATTGCAAGTGGGGCATGCCAATCTCCCCTTAGTGCTCCATCCTGAAAGCATTGCTAATGCTGGAAAGTCACTAACTGTCCACATTAAGGCAGCACATATTCGGAAAGTTTAGTTGGTTTCAGCATCAAATGTGACTATCCCAGTTTCCCATCGTTCTTTCAATTCTTCAATTAATGGTCGTAGGTACACATCTATATTATTTCCTGGAGATGATGGACCTGGAATGATCATAGACAACATTATATACTCTGGCTTCATGCAAATCCACGGTGATAAATTATAGTTCATTAACATAACAGGCCACGTGCTATGGGAAATGTTCATGGTCCAAAACGGGTTGAAACCATCACTTGAAAAACCCAATCTAACATTTCGAGCATCTCTAGAGAAGTCTGGGTGCAAAGAATTAAAAGCCTTTCAAGCTTCCTCATCAGCAGGATGTCTTATATTCCCATCATTGGGTCGTTCATTAGCATGCCATCTCATTGCAGCAGCCGGTTCAGAACACATGAATATCCTCTGAAGCCTAGGCTTTAAAGGAAAGTACCTTAAAACCTTTGCAGGGATGTTAGAGCTTGCTTTAGTCAAAGGACTAGCACTCTTCCGTCTTGAAGACTCACAAATAGAGCAATTATCGACATTCGCATTTTCTTTCCAAAATAACATGCAATCATTAGGGCATGCATGTATTTTTTCATAATGGAGACCCAAATTTGTTATCATGTTTCTAGCCTTGCTGAAAGATTCTGGTACCTGAGCAAAGGGAAATGCCTCTTTTATCAACTCTAACAAATCAGAGAAAGCCACATTACTCAACCCATGCAAGGATTTAAGCAAGTACAATCGAATAGAGAAACTCAGTTTACTAAAAATTTTCACAACCCGGATATAACTCTTGTTTTCCTTCCTCCAGCAATTTGAAAAACTTCTTTGCATCTTCAGATAGTCTTTCCCCAACTCCTTCTTCATCCCCTGCCTGACCCTCTATATTTCTAAATGTATCATGAAGTAGTCCATCAATATCATCAGGCATGGTAGAACCTTCATGATCATTGCTTGGATGAGGTGTATTTCTCGAAGAAAATCCTTCCCCGTGGAAAACCCATTTGGTATAACCATCAACAAATCCATGAACAACCAAATGATCCTCCACCACATTTCTATAATATCAATAGCGATTCATTCACTTTATGCAAGGGCATAATATTTTATTTCCTTGGGCGGCTCGTTCAAATGCCTTATCAAGAAAATCATTCACTCCACGGATATACTCATCCGTCCATCTCAAGAGATTCATCCAACTTTTATCACCATTATCCATAGATATCCTATACGATAAAAGTAAATCAACAAAACTAACCAAATAAACCAAAAGCATATTAATTTGACATTTCCAACAAAATTTAAAGCTTAAAATACAAGGACCAAAATGAAAGGATGTGAGTTCAAGGGGCTATTGATATATTCTACCTAAAAAGAAATGACATATGCGTATATGAATGCATATTGAGTGATAGAGGGAGAGAGATTTGAAATCTTTTAAAGATAATGCAAATATAATAAGTAAATCTAGAGATAGTTGGTCATTGCCGAGGCACTCAAACAACGCATCTTGTAGGGAAAAAAAGCAACTGAGACCTAATGAATATTGAGTGACTTAATTGGTTTACACCCACTCTGCTTCCTCAATCTTTTACATAACACCTGCTTGAAAGAGATTCGACTCTTTTAAGTTAAAAAGGAAATAAAGGCATCAACAAGTTAGCTAGCTGCTACTTTCTCTTACATGTATCAGAAACTAATATGATACAATAAAAAATTATCTGGACCTAATGCCTTAATTTATCACATTAAACTCATAAATTGAAGTAAGAATACATATAAAAACACATATCATGCACTTATTATTTTCGGCACATGCACTGAGTGATAAGTATTTTTCACGACAGTAGTATTTCTTAGTCTCATCCAACATGAAAAAACTTTAGCTAAATAGAAAAAGGAACATGCTACAGTTACAACTTAAAGCACCAAGACAAATGTAGCATAGCTGAATGAGCTGACAGAAGAGGGCGAGTAATTTATCAGCTAAAGCTGTCATTCCAGCAAATGCATGAAGTCACTTGGGTTAAGATTGAAAAGTTGCCAGTTTTGAATGCTAAAATCATTAATGAGTGGGTACCCCCTATTTGTCTATGTGCTCCCCTTGGAATAATTTTAGCAAGAAACTACACAAAGATGGGTAATCTTCGCAAACACTCGTGCGCTTCTTTACATTTTGTAACTTGTTTTAACATGAGATTAGATTTGGTCCTTGTTAACAATACATCTCAGCCATTAAAAAATCTGGAGAGTAATTAGGCATCCAAAATCCTTTTACCACATAGTAATATCCATAAATTAGGCATTAACCCAACAATTCTATTACTATTTAGAGACAAAAAATTGAACAAACAAGAAGAAACCCACAAAAAAACCAAAATAAAACAAAAGTAAATCATTCAAATTTATTCCGATCCAAACCATTTAAATACATTTACTAAATAAAAATGAAGAAATTTTCTAGTGTTTCTACTTAGAAAAGCAGACAACAGTACTAACCTTTGACAAAAATTTGGCCTTTTCAATAATAACTTTAAGATGAGGAGCCAAAGTCTCTGCCCTTATCGCACCAAATTTGCAGCTTCTCTAACCCCTACTACTACCAAAGTTGTTTCACCTACTAATTTTATCAAAAACACAAAGGGAATCAGTGTATCTTACCAAAAAGAGCCTTTCCAAAAAGAGCTTCAAAAAATTGATAGTTCCTTTATAGTAGTAGCTTGGAAGAGTCATAACTGAAGCTACATATACTGCTATATAACACTCTTATTACTATTACTATCTTATTTCAGACACCTATGTTACTTATCCTAACAGTATTAACATAAACTCCCTTCTCTCTTAACTTCTCAGCAAGTGTATCCATTGTTGTCTATGGACAGACAATCAACATTGCTAAAATAGGAAATTCAAAAGATGTACACGAATAAGAATTCGTCTGCTTTACCTCTTACTTCGTGTTAAACAGGATCAAGATTGGAGTGTAAAAACTATTAGTGCATATAACTTAAAATCTTTTCATATTGGCCTAACATCATGGCAACTCTTACCCTAGTGACATACACAGACCAGAAGAGGCCTAAAATTTAGGACATAATAAAAGAAACCTTAACATTTACTAATTTGATAATTGGAGACCCCTTACCCCTCTGCCAAATGCAACAATGTTTTAAATATGTAAGCTAGCACTAGCACTACTATGTATTTATTCAAAGTGTCAACAGAAAGTACATAAAAAAATCATCACCAAATTGAATTATAATAAATGGCCATATACTAAACATCAAATAAGAACATGCTGGGACCCTAAAGGTATGAATATATACATACCCTACCCTGGTCATGACCAATTTTTATAATAGTAATCCCAACTAGCTCTCTTCTCTATTGTGTATTCTCTATTCACAGGGAAAAATTACCATAATTTCAATCAAACTGGAGACAAATATCATGTCAATATAGAGAAACTATAATACTCTTCTTTCTATTCAAACATGCAAGGTAGGTAACCATATTAATAAATAGTCATCGGAATATTTGAGAGACTGATTACCTGAAGTTCAACGTTCCTCCCAATTACTTATATTCACGCCCAATTCAATGTTCAATGTTATAATTGTTCTAAAGGCAACCTAAAAACATATAAAGCCATACACAAAATGATCACAATCTACAAATATAAAGTACAAAACTTGCGCATTAACCTTGAAATAAACCCTAAACCAAAAAATCAAAAAAAAAGAAGTAACAAAACAGTACTGATATATGCAAAAAATAGATCAATAAAAAGCTTACAAGATGAAGAATCTTGATATGGAGAGCTCAAATTCTGAATCTTCCGATTGCTAGAGAGAATCGCGAAAAAAAAACATAACTAGAGAAAAAAGAGAGAGGATTGTTGGAAGAAAGGAGTTGCAGAGAGGGGGAAACCTGATTGCAGCGACGTTTACGGTGATATTTTCTCTCTTCCTTCGAGTAAAACAAATAGAGTTCGGGACTTTAGGGATTTGGGAGTTTTGGGTTAGCAATTTTAGGGATTTTTGGTTAACAAATAGATTTGGGGATTTGGGAATTTAGGTTTGCTGGTGATTTGAGGAAGGTGGAATTTAAGTTGTNATTTGGGAGTTTTGGGTTAGCAATTTTAGGGATTTTTGGTTAACAAATAGATTTGGGGATTTGGAAATTTAGGTTTGTTGGTGATTTGAGGAAGGTGAAATTTAGGTTGTCTGGTGATTTAAGGAAGGTGGAATTTAGGTTGTGTGGTGATTTTGATTTGATCTGCTTCCTAAGAATGAGCTTGAGCAAGATGAAAGCATTGGAAGAAACGAAGAAATTTTAATTTAGTTATTGTATTTACCAAAAAAAAAAAAGGAAAAAGGGGTTATATTGGCGGGTTTAGCAAAATTCAAGGGGGGAAATGAGGAGGGAACAAAATACCCGTTCCGATATTACAAAAATTTCTAGAACCGTTACTACAAATAGTTCTATTGGGACGGTTGCAAAAACCGTTCTTATAAAGAAGTCCTATGGTAACGGTGAACTGTCAACCGGAACGGTTTAGTATCTAAAGTGTACTTATTTAATCCAAATTCTATTGTAACGGTTGTAACCGTTACCGTATCTACTCTATTGCAACAGTTTAATAACCGTTGCAAAAACAATTGTTCCCGTAGGCCTATTTTCCAGTAGTGAGAACTTTAAGACTTAAGAGTTTTATCTTTTAATACTATAGCTAACAGAGAGAAAGCAGGGATTTCCGGACAAAGACATACAAATAAGGTTACACAAAATCCCTTACAGGCACATATGGTATAAATAAAACAAGTTTCCAATGACATGTTTGGACATCATAAGCTAGCAAAGTACACCAGATAGAGCTTCAAAGCAAAGCATAGTCCAGAATTAGCCTAAAGGACTTTAGACAATTACCATGAGAATCTAGCAAAGTCTTAAACAGGAACAAGTGGATGGCAGTTTTTACATGAAGGTTTTTTAACGTGAAAGCCTAAGGAGAATATGATCATAAATAGCATGATAACATGCCAGTGGGTATAATTTACAACAGTAGTAATTATATCACTTAGTTGAACATGAGACTTAACATGTTGAGCATCAATCATTAGATAAAGGTTCAAAAACAACATCGAAACTCATGATATGCAAGCATTAGGTCTTAACCATATATTGAATCTCATCATAGAAGTGTTAGGCAATATTAACGAGCACATGAGTGAACAAATTAGGGAGCTCGCAGTAAATACGAAAAAAGCATGTTTAGCTAATAACATGATCAAGAACAAACCCTTAGGAAAACACTAAGTTATACATGAATGATTCAACAAGAGTCAGAACACATATTAGGCATCAGTTATCACGACAGTATAGAACAACACAAAAAACCATACTCAGATTAAAGAATAGTAACAAGCACTCGAACACAGGCATTAACAGGCAAGCCTAAGAAGGCAGAATCAAAATAGGCAGGCTGAATTACTAGGAGGTATGGAGTCTCAAGAAGAACTTCAAAAACATATACTGGCTTGTTGATTCATACAAATTCTTATAGATATAGATACGCAGAATAGGAATACAAACAAAGGGAAAATGAAATTGCAAGAGTCTAGATACATTACCAGTTATAGAAGAACAAGAAACAAGAAGGGTGATTTCTGTAATACTTCAGTGTTTGCAAACGAACAATAACACCCCAAATTCCCAGTGCATCAGAGTTCCCAAGGGTTTCAAGTGAACCCCTGGCAGTGCTCGCACTGAGAAAGAGCAACAATCGAATTTTCGGTGGACTTGGCTTTCAGCTAGCCAAGGTCTGAAATTTTAGAATAGTATATAGAATGAGAGAATAAGACAGCAACAATAGTTAGTTTCAGTCTAAGGTCCTTCCAATGGGGAAAGTGAGGAGGGGTTTATATAGTGTTCAAATTAAGATGGGCAAACAAGGAATATAATCAATCAAACCTAAATCAGAAAAGAAAATATCGCGTGCAATCTGTAATAGAACCAGTAAAAGAAAAATCAGAATCCAAACCCTAGTTGGAATCGAACTTAGGGAAAATCATTCACAAGCCCCGATCATGGCAGAATCTACAGAGATATACCATATATAAGAGAGATCTTCTCTTCTCTAGTGCATTGAACCATAATACTTCCTAGAATCACAGAAACAAAGTCAGATCTGACTTGCCATAAATGAAATGGTAATAAAAGTTACCACAAAATGAGTAATAGTACCAAGAAAAGGTAAGTAAACCCGCATATGGACGCGTATAAGGAAAGAATAAGCAGGGATCCTCATGGTCGGCTAGGGGTGTGAGAGTGGATATGAGAGAATACAGGGGCGGCTGGGTAAGGGAAATGGGTTAGGGTTTCAGGGTTATAAGGGGGAATGGGGTTTATTATGGGTCGTTGATCATTTAAGATCAACGGCCATGATCGAAGGGAGACGGGAGGGGTTAGTAAAATGGGTTCCGACGGGTTATAGGATTAGAGGGGATCTGGTTTGGGCTGGGGCGTATTGGACTAAGGTTTGGGGTGTTTGGGCCATTAACTTAGGTCCTAAATTAGCCTTAAATTGGGCTATAAATTAAATACACGAAAATGGTTAATAAAATAATTTATAAAAATATTTAATGGATAATAAAATATCACTTGTGCAATAAATTAATTGAAAATAATAATTTAAGATCACACAAATATTAAGGTTATTTGGCACAAATAATGTGAAAAATATAATTATGTATGGCGCATAGGCTATTATTGCCAAATTGTGTAAATATCCTAAAAATATTAATATAATTATGTAAAATAAGGTAAAAAATATTATGAAACTTATATGTGGATACAAATAATAAATTTATATGATTGAGTCAATCTCAAAAATAATTTAATGGATAATTAATAAATAATCAAGTAATATAAATGCAAAGAAATCAATTTTAAAGCTCTAAAATTATGGAAAATTATAGAAAATACTTGTATAACTCTTGTAAATTAAGAAATGATGCAAAATGACATTTTGAAAGTATATATACTTATTTGAAAAATATAAGGGCAAAATGTGTGTCAACAACTGCCCCTCTTTATCCGGGGATGATGAAAGAGTTGTCGGGTAAAGAAAATGATGACCAATTTTGTCCGAGTTGAGTGAGGAATGATATGGTGTGAAAAAATGGAGGCTGGACCCTGGTTTTTGAGTTGCCTACATATCCCTAGTATTACGGGAATCAGACCGTGTATAGTTCTGGATCCAACGACGAATGAAACCGATGGAGTTTTTATAAGAGTGGTTGTATGTTTCAAAAGGTTCTTCTTAGGTAGGGTAGTTTTGCAGGTAACGGATAATTTTAGGTGGAGCTATGGATGCGATTTGAACGTTATGGATATATAAAGCGAGTATTTGTGAACGGAAATCGGAGCAAAAATTGCTCCTGTTTATAGAACGGTTACCTCCCGAGATACCTGCAAAAACTTAAAACATGATGCGCGCAAATATATATATAGATTATTGCAAAAATATAAACATGATGCAAATTCCCTTCAGACCATGAAGGTTTTCTTCGGACGATGAGGATGATGTCCTTAGACCATGATGTCCTAAGCCATGAAGCATATGATAAGGGATTGGCATGCCATGACATGGTGTCCTTGGGCTATGAGGAAGATGCCTCTGGACTATGGCGCCTTTGAATAATGATGTGCAATTTTGAGAGATCCTCAGGCCATGGAATGGTGTCTTCAGGCTATAAGGATGGTGCCTTCGGACTATGACGCCTTTAGACAATGTGGCATATGTTTCAGCCCATGAAATGCAAAGATACGACGATATCGATCGTTTGATAGAGGAAATAGGTGATGTTTAGTCATATGCGAGGACGATACAAGACAAGGTTTAGTCTTGTATAAGAGGAGGGCAGTGCTTAGCCCTATGCGAAAAAGGGAGATAGTGCTGAATTTTATGCAGTGTAGCAGAGACAGTGTTTAGTCTCATGCAAAGGAAGGCAATGCTTAGCCTTATACAATAATGGAGGCAGTGCTTAGCCTCAGGTAAGGACTGGAGACAATGATTAGTCTCATTAAAAGAAAGTCAGTGCTTAGCCTTATGTAATGAATAGAGACAATATTTAGTCTCATGCAAAGGAAGGCAATACTTAGCCTTGTAAGTTGAGGGCAGTATTTAGCCCTATGCAAGGAATAGAGATAATGTTTAGTCTGGTGCAAAGGGAGGCAGTGCTTAACCTTACAAATTGAGGGCAGTGTCCAGCCCTATGCAAGATGTAGAGACAATGTTTTGTCTCATTCAGAGGGAGACAGTGCTTAGCCTTGTAATGTGAGGGCAGTGTTCAACCCTATGCAAGGAGTAGAGACAAAAATGTTTAGTCTCATGCAGAGGAAATGCTTAGCCTTGTGCAATGAGGAGGGAAGTGCTTATCCCTATTCAAGAAAAGCAATGATTAAATGCAAGAGGATAAAGCATTTCTTAGCTTGATGTGTTTGCGTTTGGCGACTTTTGCCGTTATAAAGATAGTGATCCTGTTGTGTGTATGTATTTGCGGACATTCCTGTTATGTTCATTGTGCCTGCATCCAAAGAAAAATCATGAATTATGCAGGGTGTTGATACCTAATTTTTCCTATATTATTTTTTCAAAATGCATATATATCTTCAAAACTATGCATTAGCATCAAATGATATTTTTCCATAATTTCTACAATTTTAAATTAATTTATCCCAGTATTTTATTTATGTAAACAATTACAAAATTTCATCACAAATGACTTCATAACATTTCTTGATTTAATTTTACTATTTATAGTTATATTAAGTTTAAATTATTTCACAAATGGCCAGATTTATACTTTTTGGTTATAATTGCAACAATTTTATAATTATAGCCCAAGCATACATTATTGCATTATTTTACCAAAAATGGTCCATCGTATTTTTAAAATATCGAATAATTATTTCTATGCATAAAAATTATTTTTATAATTTTTTATATATTTTATAAATTAAGTGTTACTCAATTATCTGGGTATTTAATAAATAGTCCCTTATGTTTTCAGACTTAACCCAAAAGACCAGCCCAAAACCTCTTTTAAAATTATCCTAATCCCTTTAGGCCCAAATACACACCTGCCCGACCCAATACCTCCCATTCAATACTGATCGTTGATCATTCAAATTAACGGTCCATATTCCCCTTTCCTTAATTAAACCTAGACATAACCCTCCCCCCAAACCCTTTCATTCACTCCTCTCACCCGCCGTCATCACTCTCCTCTTCTCTCAACTCTCTCGACCCAACCCTAGTTCAAAACGCCGTCAGTGGCGTATATCTCAATCCTGTTATGTTTCT